AAATGTATATATTTTCAAAGTAAATGTTTGACCTCCCACCATCATGGTCCTATTTAAAAAACAGTATGAAAATCCTTTTTCTTCTTTACATTTTGAATAACTGATTGGAATGTGTGTTGCACTAAAATGTATTTACTTTTCAATATTTACGAGACCATTTGTTTTAAAAATTATGATTTCACATTTGAAAGTACTCTAAAGTATTCATGACATTTAACCTTCAATATTTTACTTTTAAACTTGATACAACAGTCTGCTTCTTAGCTTTGTTGTATGCTAATATTTCTCCTTAACATCAAAAAGCTGTAGTGGTTTCTCTTTATAGATTATGCCTGTGCTCTGGAATTGCCTCCTGCTGTCCGCGAACTGCTTCTTAGCTTGTGTTAGAATTTCTCACCAGGGTTTTTGTGAGCTATGTAGCCAATATTTTTAAAAAATCAAATTTGATACAGTAAATGAGGATTAACAGAAATTACACTATTTATAATTGTAATTGAAGGAAGCTTTTGTCCAGGATATCAGTTTTATGTAGTGAGAATAAACAAATGCCGATTGCATGTAAGGATATGCGTATGTATAATTATCTACAACTACAGCATTTTTCTCATTATTTCTATAGTATTTTTTGCTTGTTGGATTTTTAAAAAAGTAAAAATGTGCTCACTCATTAGGGTATGTGCTATTTAGTAATGAACCATTTAGATTTTGGCTTCTCACATTTCAGTTGGAAATTGTATTGGTGTGAGTGAGTGTTGCTATGGGAACCTCTGGATTCATAGCTATAAAGGCAAGACTGTCTAAGTGGAGGAGGAGGGGCGCTGTGCTAAAATACCACCAACCTAAATGATCTATTTTGTGTATGTGTCGGTGAGTGCTGTTGCAGGGTGGTAGCTAAGATGAAAAGGGAAAGGAAGTAGAGGAGTAAATCTTAAGGAGATACTTTTGGAATCTCGCAGGTTTTAAAATTTGAAATATGTTTGTGTCATTTACATATAACATTTTGTAACTGCACCTGTGGAATATGTTTGGCTAATTTGATTTTAGATAAAAATATATATTTCCGTGAAATTTATTATTAGTTTGTTAGTTATTAGGATTTCAGCTTTAATATTACGTTTTATTGAAGGTGATTATCACAGTTAATTCTGTTTTAGATTCCTAAAATCTATCCCAAACTGACTAAATGACAATGTGACTTTCAAAATAGTGGCATTGAGGTTACATCACAGTACTTTTAAAATTGCATTTAAAAATTGAATATTCTCAGTAGTTTTATATAAATAAACAATTGACTTACTATATCAGTATATATAATATTGCATAGTTTTTTGTTTTGTTTTGTTTTAAAGAAGACAAAACCAAGCATCAAATCCACTTGGGTTACTACTGATGAAAATGATTAGAGATTAGCCAGTTTAACTGTGTACAAAGTAACATTTTTGTTTTTCATGTTTTAAGTCACATACAAAAAACAAATTGTGCCAAGGGTGTTAGTTACCCTGATAAAAAGTAATACCGTCCTTGCATTTTTAATTACACACTGGATTCTAGTTGTCAGATACATGTGTAAAAAAGGGACATTTACTTGGTAAAAATTGTTTAAATATACTTTGTTAGTCAATCCAGAGAAAAAGTAAAGCTGCTAAGGTTTAAAACATCCAGAAGTCTTTAAATTAAAGAGTGAGGAATGAAGAAAAGAAGCTCAACACTCCCGCCCCCTTCCCCAGCCTGGCTGTCACTGATGTAAAAGGCAGTAGGGAGTGTATTGTTTTCAAGTCTACATAAACAATGCTGGGTATCTCTTTGGGGGAGGATGGGTGTTAGGATGGATAGGTGGGTGTTAGGACCCTTGAGGAGTAAACTTGGCATGCAGAAAGTTATCAGTGGACTTTTCGGCATGAAAAGCCTAATAGCAATGGGAGTAAATAATAGGAAAGTATGTTTACCTATAAAGTTGACCAAGTAAAATCTTTTAAATTGTGTGAAATAATTCATAATTGTTTGAGGTGAAGCCTTAAAGTATAATGTTCAGCAACAAAAACCACTTTTAAATGTACTTTTGGCATAGTATATCTGCTTAACACTAAACATGGCTTCTGAAAAATAAATGACTAAAGTAAATTGTTATTTTAAAAGTAATGGGGCCGGGGAGATGGCTCAGTGTAATAAGCGCTTCCCTGGCAAGTGCAAGGGCCTGAGTTCAATCCCTGGTACTGCCAAAAAAAAAAAAAAAAAAAAAAGTAATAACAAATCAAGTTAATTAAAATGAAATAGAGACAAAATATGAGCAACAACATCTGTTTTGCTTTTCTGTTTCAGTGTTTGCTGTTTTTCCTCCTATTCTTTGGGAAGAAGTCTAGCAATCCTAAGATTGGAGACAAAAATGCACACAGCCATATTTAATATGTATGTTCAAAATGTCATTTTTAGTCACTTTTTTAAAGTTTCATAATACAGAATTTCCAAGAAGGCAGTTCTGACATTAAGTACTTCATGTATGAGTCAATTTGTTATGAGATTTATGTATTTAATCTGTAAAGGATCTGTAAAACAGTCTCACTTTTCAGCCCACTTTGAAAGGGATAAAGGGATGCTCTGGGGATACAGGTCAGTGGCATAATTGCCTGCCTGACAAGTACGAGGATCTGAGTTTGATTCCTGATATGAGAGAGAGAGCGAGAGCGAGAGTGAGAGTGAGAGCAAGAGATAGAGGTAGAGAGACAGACAGACAGACAGACAGAGACAGAGACAGAGACAGACACGGAGGGAGGGCGGGACCATATGCAATTGTTAGGATTGACTAGATTTATTCATTTATTTATTTTTAAGAAGACATTTATGTTAGAGGAGTCTTAAAAACTGTGGTGATAGGACTAGTATTTCAACTTTGGAATTTCTTTTTGTTGCTAGAATGATGAAGACTTTGGGTTATTGTATATAAAAATGTCAACAAGTACTTTCTCATGATTCACTGACATCACCATTCACTGATACTCTCAAAGCCCCCTCCGTATCTGACAGAACATGGAAAGAATTATTAGCTAAAAAAAGCCTGATGAATAATTTAAAGTAGTTTTGATTTTACATACATTAATCTGGTCAACTAGAGGAAAAAAAAAGAAAAAAAGGGACCAGAAAACATGCAACCAGAAGTAAAAACCAGAAAAATTTAAACTTCTGAAAGTACTTCCTTTGTAGCCTTTTAGGAATTGGAATATTAAACATAGCCAAAGAGTATCACATTTTCAGCTTTATAATCATAAATGAGTTCATGTTTTTTTTTAAATTTTAAGTTGTATTTTTAAACTTTTCCCAATTACTCAGACTTTGTAACTTTAAAAAAAAATGTATTTAGTACAGGGCCTATAGGGTCTCACTACACAGATCGGACTCAGTGGTCCTTCTGTTTTCAGCCTTCGAAACTCTGGGGTTACTGGCATGCACCACCATGCCCAGTCTCTTTTGCCATCTCAGCATGCCCTGAGGGTGGTGGGATGGGGCCAGGATGGCAGGCTGGGGAGTGAACCCTGATCCCAGTGTCTGCCTAAGCAGGTGCTTTAGTCTGTTGAGCTATCTGGCTGGCCCTATAACTTTTTAAATACAAAACACTTGGGCTTTACAAAACATCAGTGAGAATTGCACTATGTGTGATTGATGAGTGATATGTTTTTGTTTTTGAGTGGTACTAGAAATTGAACCTAGATTTTTATCTTAAGCTATATCCCCAGACCTTTCTGCTTATGTTTATTTTTCAAATTTGAGACAAGGTCTCAGTAAGTAGTCCAGGCTGGGTTTGAACTTGCTGTCCTCCTACTTCAGCTTCCCAGAGTTATAAACATGCACCACAGCTCCAGGCTCAGTAATATACTTTTAAAAGTATATTTACAGTGTTCAACATTAAGACTTATGACAGTGTATTAAGCTTATCACCAGGAACAATATTGTTTACCATTCACTTTTAATTCAACATTACAACTATCATTTTATTGAAAGAACTATAGTATATTGGGAATTTTGATTATCAAAATTTATCTCCATAAACATAGTCCCTCAGCATTTAAAAAAGAAAGAATTCCCAACAGCTTTTTTTTTTGGTCCCAACAGCTTCTAACAGAAGACATGAATATGGGAGGTATGTGTATATTTAATAATTTTTTTTTTTTTTTTTTAAGGACAGACCAGCACTTTAACTTTATTTTTTTTATTTTTTTTTATTTTTTCTCAAAGTTTTATTGACAAAGAGATAGCAATGAGACAGTTTCAAATCAAATCGGAAGGACAGTTTCAACAAATAATACACTGCATATATTCTTCTTAGTGGTTAATTGCTGTACAAGATGCGGACTTGTGATCCTATTCACA